ATACGCTTTGCCAAAAACTAAACCAAAAAAAAATATGTATAAACTAAAAAATCGGAAAATGAAAGGAAAACGAAAAGTAGCCGCCTTGGGTCAAAGAAGGCGGCAAATTTTTAACGCGCATTCATGTGCATTAAGATGTGAAATTGTCACCATTGTTGCACGCATTGTGTCGCATGCAACAACCCACATTCGGCTGCAGCAACAGCAAAGTGAGCAACTCCGTCGTAGGAGTAGTTGCATCAGTCGGCGGTCTGTGCGTTGACAGCATTAAAGCATTAAAAGTCATGTGAATAGAATGAAAATCTTTCAAGATACATTTCGCTCACTGCCTCGAAGAATCTATTCAGCAATTCTTTTGCGGCGGCGACGGCGGCGGCGGCTACTCTTTTGCCCTACTTGCCACACCCAACAGAAAAAAAAAAAACAAAACAAATACTACAAGAAGTGGGCGTCTGCAAAACCCTGCATGCCGCTGCCTTCTCCTGGAGAAACGATTGCACGTGCAATCTATGAGATACATATATATCTATGAGCAACTCTCCATGTTCTATATCAATTCGATCGAAGTTCAACAATTATACTTGAATTAGATAAGATAATTTTATACATAAGAAATATATTATCTAGTATACATGATACACATGTATTCATATCTGTGAGATACACTCAGTAGTGTCAGATGTATTACACTTGTTCGTATCTTTAAGATAAGTTTGAGCTCGAATTTATAGCTCGGAAATGCGAGATATATTTGCATCTACAGAATATTAACTACATTTGTATTGATAAATCGCTTTCGTATATATGAAAAACATTTGTATCTTAAGAACACGCCGCATTGTGTTATCGCCTCAGTTCACGCAGCTAAAACTAAATTGACAATCACACCTTTAATCTTACTCGCACTTTTGCACGTGCAGGCTATGAGATACATTTGTAGCTTCGGCCGTTGCAAGTCCCTCAGCTCGGCTTAAATATATGTCTGTCTAATGCAGACGTCACCGTTGCAGATACTGTTTGTAGCTGTAGCCCAATGCGGGTTAATCTTATCACGGATGCCTCTTATCGCCGACGCTGGTTTTTCGCCAAAAATGCATGTCTAATAAATGCAGACACAGATACAGATACAGATACAGATACGAGTATCAATTTTGGTAACTGCAATTAAGTACAAGCAGCGGGCAGCACCGACAACCCTGAACCGTATCTCTCGTCTCAACTCCCCTGCACCTGATTCTGACCTGCCTCGCCTCAAATAGCGCAGCAGGCACTCAATTTCGGATTTTTACTGGGAATTCCAGTCAAACGCCCGATTTTACCAATTGCGATTCGGCGCCGGAGTTGCGATCACAGGAAAAACGGCACACGCTTCATCATTTAGCGACGCTTTGCATAGCCAAGAGAAACCAGAAGAAGAGGCTGGGCAGGATGTGTGTATTTGTGTTCCTATTTTGGGCGATTAATAGTAGTAGTGAGGCCAATAGCGCCGGCTCATCAAAGTGTCTATTACGCGACCGAGGCGTGAACAATTATGTCCCAAACACTTGCCTCAAACATCGGTTTCACCCCACATATCTACAGACAATGATAGACAGAGAGAGAGACAGAGAGAGAGAGAGAGACAGAGATAGAGAAATAATTTTGAATGCCAAGCGAGAGAGACAAAAATGCAGAGCAGCCGCCGCCGTCATCGCAGCAGGTTGTCTTTTAATTGAGGAGCACACTTTATTTATTTATTTTTTTTGGCTGCCAAGGATTCATTGAGAGTCAGAGTCAGACTCGAACTGCAGTCGGATGTCCTTCATAGTTCTCAGGGGCGTTCTCATTCAAAAAGGCGCTGGCGTTAATAAAACACTTTACATAGAATATGAAAATATAAATAATCAATATGACAGCCCACAACTTAGATACACTCTAAAACTCTCTGTGGGCGTAACTTGACATTGAAATATTGTTTTAGGCCTCGAATATGAGAATGAATTTTCTGCTCAAAAATGCTTTTGTTGGCACTGCCTATTTGCTATAGCATAATTTTCTATAGACATCATGATATTTACTATAGACATTTGAAACATATATACACAACATTAATAAGAAACATTTATCTGTAGAATCACAAGATTACTTCCGATTCAAGGCAATATATATTTAAATTTTTATTGATTCATTTCAAAATTTAACACGAATATTTTGTTGAATTCATGTTCGTTTTGAGTTTCGATTGTTGAATAAAGTCTGCTCAAAAATACAATTATAAGCTCTTAACCATAATATACTTATTTGGACAAATATAATCGGAGATTTGAGGCTTATTTAACTGTTATTTTTAGCGCATTAATGATAATCCTTCTTCCTCACTTAAAATATTTTGCATCAGTTTCATGTTCAGCTAGCTGTCGTGTGCAGTATTCATAGTTATTCCGATGCTTATCTCCACAACTGTATTACAAATTTTAAATACTCATTGCAAGTGCACGCAATGCAAGATAGAGAAGCGTCGAGTGACTGACGCACATGTAGATAGTTACTCGCTCATCCATCCATCCATCCATCCACAAAGTATCTGAGGCAGCGGCTGAGTGTGTGACGCGTGTCTCGGTTAAGTCTTTCAGTCTTTGGGTTTTGCTGTTGCGGTTGCTCTGAGCTGAGCTGTGAAAGAGTTCTGAGCTGCATATCGTGACGTATAATTGACAGGCAACAGGCGTTTAAATCACGAGACTCGCCAGCCTGTCATCTCCTCAAGAGCAAACAAATTTAGATATCTATAGACATGGACAGGCATTTAAGCGCGGCAAGGGAACGTCAGCACTTGTTTCGGGAGCAGTCTCTTTCTTTCTCTCTATAAAGTGGATCGATCAGCCACTGTCTTAAGCGCTTTAAAAGTTGTTAGAACCAACAAAAAAAAACACTTTTAGATAATCGTAGATAGAAAAAATGCGATTGACGTTTGAAATTACAAGCGAAGCGGAAGGAAGTGAGACAAAAAAATATACATTTAATTTTGGTTATTATTATTATTTTCTTAATATATAGAAAAATGTTTTTGGTAAACGCCTCTGAGGCAGGGAAATGCTATCAAAACGATGAGGAAAACCACAAAAAAAAACACACACAGAAAATGTGTGAAGGAGGGCGGCAGGACACGACACCTTGCACAGGATATACGTACAAATTGAGTTGCTTCCTGTGTGAATAGTTCTCGGCTTAGAATTGCACACTCATCCAACGCGCTGGCATAGCCAATGTGATTATGATAACGCATCAGAGAGTGGAGAAAATGGAGAGAAATTAAAAATGGCTGATCTGCCCCTAGCACCAAAATGTGTCAAAAAAAAAAGGAAAAAAACACCGAAGCCAAAGTGGAGGCAAATGCTGAACGCCGGGAAAATTACTCGCATTACACATCAGGCTGTCTAAAATTACCCGGCGTAATCAGAGATTTCCATCACCTTTTTCGTTTAGGTTTTTAACTAAATTCATTTTAGCAGTTCAATGAAAAACTCGAAATGGGAAATGGGCAATGGAATAGTGAAAAGTGAAAGGTAAATTGAGCAGGAGATGAGGGTGGCATGCGCGTCGAATGCGCTTAACAGCTTTGCCCGCTGTCCACCCCTCATCTGATCCTGATCCTCATTCTCATCCCGATCCGGTGTGTAGTCATAGCTCTCATCGTGGACATGCTTGACGCTTGGATTAGGCTGACGTAATGAGCTCTGAGCCGTGGGCCAGCACGCGCGCCTTTCCCTCGGCCCTTTGTCAAAGTACTGGGTGCACCTAAAGACGACTTTGGGTGAACGGACGAGGCAGCAGATTGAGATTCTCCTGAACATTTTAATTATATACATTTTCACTTTTGCAGAATGACTCGACTGATGAAGATATCTGCAGATTACTTTTGTATCTCTATCGATCTTTCAATATATGGCCACGGATTTGTTAATCATTGTGCGATGTCTTCGTTGGACAGTAATATAGTTCCCTAAACAGCACCAGAAAACGAACTAGTTGCCACCCATTTCTTTTTGCTTTATCGTAGCATGGTAGATAGAATTCTATCTATTTGATAAGAGTATACGTTTTTATGTAATTACTTAACTGATTCACAAGGCCAAAGTACACCAACAGTAGCAGAAGTCAACTCTGACTTCCATTAGTGATCGATAGGAGCCAGAGACATAAGATATATATATCAAATTGAATTGTAAGCTTAAGTCGAAAGTGTGACTAGTCTTCGTAATATGTTAGTCTTGTACTGAGTCACCGTCGACAACGCCACTGACGAAGAACCGTTGACCGGCTTCCCCATATCTAATTTTGTGCTACCACATTATGTATGTGGGGACGTGATGGTAACTTAACATGCCATTAGTGGGCTTCAAGTTTCTAGATATAGCGAAAATAAAAGAATAAAGAATGCTTGACTACGAGATACCTTGAGTCCAAGTCTTTGCCCATCATAATATCATTCAAATCAAAAATACTGTTACACTCATTGTATATATGTTTGTTTGCATATAGGTATATAAATATATATGTGTGTATGTCACACGTCATACAGATGATCACTATTGGAGTAAGATATATCTATAAATTGTCGCTTTTATTGTCATCTGTAACGTCGCGAAAGTTATTGAAAATTGAAATAAAGCTGAGGAAGCGAAATTCTTACAGACAGGCATACGGACAGAGGGACAGATAGATACATACTCAGATAGAAGGACTAGAAGGACACAGCTAAATGCATTCGCATTTTGATGCTAATCAAGAATATATATACATAAAATATATATGGTTGCATACGATTTGTTCTGGCTGTTGCACAACATCAAGATACCCCTTTGACCCATTCTTAATGAGTTCAGGGGGTATACGGCAAATCTTATCTATGTTCGATTTTAAGGGATTTGATTGAATTACCTGTCGCGATAAAAACACCGCCCACGTATAAATGTGCATGGAACAAGTGCTCCAAGCTTTAGTGAATCAAAGACGATACGAACATGCTGAAGTCGGTTATTGTGCTCGGTGGTCTTCTGCTGGTGCTGACCCTGAGCAGTGGGAGCAGTGTCAACAAGCTCTCTCGTGTGCCCATCTACAGGCAGAAGAACTTTGTGAAGACACGCGCCAATATCCAGGCCGAGGTGGCCCATGTGCGTAACAAATACAACAGCCAGCTGACATTGGCATCAACAACGGCACAGGCCGGTGGTGTTTCAACAACCACACCCACAACAACGACAACCAAGACAACGACTGCAGGCATTCATAGAGAGCCGCTAATCAACTACGTGAATATGCAATACTATGGTCTCATCACCATTGGCACACCACCACAGAGTTTTGAGGTTATGTTCGATACAGGCTCATCGAATCTGTGGGTGCCCTCGATTAAGTGCTCCGCCGCCGCCTGTGAGACTCACAATATGTTCAATCCGGCCGACTCCTCCAGCTATGTGCCTAACGGGTCGATTATATCCATAGTGTATGGCACCGGTAACATGACTGGTTATCTCTGCTCTGATGTTGTGAATGTGAATGGCATGAATATACAGAGTCAGACATTGGCTCTGGCCACATTTGAGCAGAACGATTTTTTGACATCGAACTTTGATGGCATTTTCGGAATGGGCTATCGTAACCTGGCTGTTGATAATGTGGTGCCGCCGTTTTACAATATGATAAGTCAGGGACTGGTCAGTCAACAGATATTTTCGTTCTATTTGACGAGCGATGGTTCCTCCAGCCAAGGCGGTGAATTGATTTTCGGTGGATCTGATCATAGCCTGTTTGTTGGCAACATGGTCTATGCGAATGTGACGAGAGAGGATTACTGGCAATTCATGATGGATAATGCCACCTTAAATGGCCACATCTTGTGCACCAACTGTCAGGCGGTGGCTGATACGGGTACCTCATTGATTATGGCACCAGCCGCATCCTATCTGATAATTAGGGAGGTGCTTGGTGTTGGTAGCAATGGCGAAGTCGATTGCTCCAAGATTGCGCAAATGCCAGTGCTTAAATTTGCGATTAACGGCAAGATCTTTGGCGTTCCCGGCTACGCCTATGTTATAGTGGAGGGTCAACAATGCATTCTGGCCATTGACTACATATCTACAGATTTCTGGATTTTGGGCGATGTCTTCATTGGCCAATATTACACAGAATTTGATTTGGCCCAGAATCGTGTCGGATTCGCATCAATCAATGGACAAAACTATATTGCGGATAATGGGGCTGGTAATTTGCAAGGGATGCCTGCCCTTGAATTGGGCCTGTTGGTGATGGCCTTGTTGTTTTCGAAAATGTTGAATTATCTGCACTGAGGAATTTTTAACTATTTATGTAATTTCTCATCTTTTTTTTTATTAGCTTAAATCTGAAATATATCATAAATCTCTGTGCTGATATGCAGTGATCCGATCAAAAAATAAATTATGTACTTCCTCCAAATTGTACATTGTTATTTAAGAAGTATGGCTTCGGGAAGTGTCTAGAAAAACCATGTGTATTTTTGTGTGTGTGAGTGTGTGTGTGTGTGTGTGTGTGTGTGCAAATGTTTGATCTAAAAACGATTCAATAACTTTTGTGTTTCTTGTACGATTTGGATGAAATATGTACAGTTATCAATGTGATGTCAAGGTATGGAAACATCGTATAAGAAAGATAAATCTTTAGAATTGTGCATTTTGTTGTTTTCAAGATACATCATATATTTTAAGATGTTAAAAATACTTTTTTCTGCCTGCTGCATACCTTCAATATATCCTTTTCAACAATTTGTAATGAGTTCAAGTTATATATACTATAAAAGCCATTCAAAGCATTTGAGTTAATATATAACACAATCTATACATATTCTATAAACTTATCAGATATGTACAGCGAAATACTAATTGTCTCTGGTGATTCTTGAGTTTGGCCAGTTTGAATTTGATGACGTTAAGAAATGGAAATGAAAACAAACAACCAATGAATACAAATATATAGAACAGACGTCAAGGTCTACTTGAAAAGCGCACAATCGGAATAGTGGAAGATATTAAATACATTATCTCTAGCCAATCTTCAGCAGCGATTTTATTAAATTCCCCTCCTTACTGATCAGATGTGCCTTATAACCATTTCAGTAAATATGTTTATTGGCTTGACTCTTGATATTACCATAATTAGCTCGACTCGGTTAACAAGTTCAATGCCAACATATGTTAAAGGTGAGAATATGATGGCATATCGAGAAGTTTGCGATTCGTGGCAATAGCAAACAATCAGTTATACTGATCAGATTAAACTGTCTTTCAACTGTTTGAAGAGTTGACAAATTTAGAGCGTAATGCTGATTAATATAATATTACGTACAAGTGGGTTTAAGGAGGGGCTCAATGCTTCGGAGTTTCCCCACTCAAGTGCTACAGACAGCGTCGGTCCGTCCATAACTAATGCCCTCTTCAATAATATTGGATTCATAATCACAATTGATTGTTTTGATTTTTCATGTCCAGTCAAATACAGCTGGAAGACATTAAAGCAATTGAGTATTTTGTAGTGATACAAACAATTGTTTCTAAAAGTATGGAGAACCTAATCTGAGGACGCTAAAATTGTAAATAGAAAACAAACAACCAAGGAATATAAGCTGACAAATTGTATAGATATGAAGCAGACGTATAATCGTCACGCCCCGCTTGATAAGAACACAATCGGAATCGTTGAAGATATTAAACACATTATCAGCAGCAGTGATTTGATTGAGTTGCAGAAGTACTACCTAGGAGACTATTGATAAGGGATTTAGTATAAATATCAGACTTGTCAGTCTCTCAGAATTAGTCGAAATCAAGTAGACACCAATTGACAATATGCTCAAAATCGCCGTACTCGCTGTGGTCCTGGCCCTGGCCAGCGCCGAGCTCCATCGCGTTCCCATCCTGAAGCACGAGAACTTCGTGAAGACCCGTGAGAATGTGAAGGCAGAGAAGGCCTATCTGCGTGGCAAATACAATATGCCATCCGCTCGCGATGCCGACGAGGAACTCTCCAACTCGATCAACATGGCCTACTACGGTGCCATCACCATTGGCACACCTCCGCAGAGCTTCAAGGTGCTGTTCGATTCGGGATCCTCCAATCTATGGGTGCCCTCGAGCCGTTGCTTTTTCCTCGATATCGCCTGCCAGAATCACAACAAGTACGATCATGACAAGTCCTCCACGTATGTGGCCAATGGCGAGAGCTTCTCCATCCAGTACGGCTCGGGTAGCCTCTCTGGTTTCCTGTCCACCGATGACGTTGATGTCAGCGGTCTGACGATCAAGAGCCAGACCTTTGCTGAGGCTACCAACGAGCCTGGCACTAGCTTCAACAATGCCAAATTCGACGGTATCCTGGGCATGGCCTACCAGTCAATTTCCAGTGATAATGTTGTGCCACCCTTCTACAACATGGTCTCCCAGGGTCTGGTTGACGACTCTGTCTTTTCATTCTATCTTGCCCGTGATGGTACCTCCACCACCGATGGCGGTGAGCTGATCTTTGGCGGCTCCGATCCAGCTAAGTACACTGGCGATCTGTCCTACGTGCCCATCTCTGAACAGGGCTACTGGCAATTTGCTGTGGATAGTGCCACCATTGATGGCCAGACCTTGGGCGAGAGTTTCCAGGCTATCGCCGATACCGGCACCTCCCTCTTGGTTGTCAGCAGTGATGCCTACGACATCCTGAACAATCTGCTGAATGTTGATGAGGATGGTCTCGTCGATTGCTCCACCGTTGACTCAATGCCTGTGCTCACCTTCACCATTGGTGGCAAGCAGTACCCCTTGGAGCCAGCTCAATACATCATTCAGTCGGATGGTGAGTGCCAGTCGGGCTTCGAGTATATGGGAACCGATTTCTGGATCTTGGGCGATGTCTTCATTGGACAGTACTACACCGAGTTCGATTTGGGCAACAACCGCATTGGCTTTGCTCCAGTTGCTTAAATTTTCAAATAAACGAATTCCTTGAACGCATTGATATCAAACTTTGAAAATTATTAATATTAAATAGCTTTAGAGCTTAGCGTTGGGTTTTGGGCACATTTATTATAGAGAATATGATTTTGAACTATTGGCAAACCATTTTAGTTAATCTAATCAAGACGAACTTTGATTGGCTAAGTAAACACATGAGATATTTTACATTGCCATTGATTGATATACACAGTTGCGGTCAAAATAATAGTTGTTTTCTAAAAATATGACACATTTTATGGTGATTAAATCGAGACATCTTTAAAATCTTCAATGTGAAGAAAAACGAATTCTTTAAAATCCAAATCTTTTCTATTCTGGAAATGTTTTTAAAACACAATTTTTTCCAAAACTAAATGCAGTAAAATATAACCACCAATCACATCTAGTTTTCAGAAATAATATTTAGCCACAGGGAAAGCTGCCGGGAACTTCACTATTATTCCACTAGTGTTATAATGATAAATCCAAATGATAATTTAACAAAAATAAATATGAATTACACTTAAAAATGTTTAAATTTTAGGACGATTGAAATTCAATTAAATTTGTTTATATTTTTGTTTGCCTTAAGGAGTTTGCTAGATTTGTTTGGCTCTCATCATAGAGACCTTTCACTGGAAGAGTCCGCACGGTAGTCGGTTCTCTGCCCTCGGGAAAACTGAAGTACAGACAATTACAATAGAACAATGAAAGAGAAATTGAATTTGCGGTCGTTAGAGGGAAATCAGCTACCGCACACAACGCCTTCAAATCACGCCTCAATTGTCTGGCCCATGGGCCAGGTTAATGCAATTTGCGGTAGCAGATGCAACCAAATCAAACCAAAAAAAAAAAAAGGACTCGAATCCAATGGCATTGGCAATTGGTGAATCTTATCGCTGGAATGCATCTCGAATCGTGTTGGCGAATGACAATTGAAATAGTCAAGTCGAAAGAGAGAACTCAATTCAACAATAACAATTGACGAACGCCCACCTAAAATGACATGGTCCAACAAAATTGAACCCTGCCTCTCAATAATAGAGATCTATACGAACAAAAAAAATTTATATATATATATATATATATATATGTATATATATATATAGAAAGAGAGATGTCACGCATATAAAAACGCGCCTTCGCCATCGGTGACAAAAACTCCCAAAAAAAAAACAATGAAATGAGAATGGAATTGAGGACCACCAAGCGTTGAGAGAAGAGGAGAACGTGTTTAGTTGTTGGCCCGCTTTTCTTTTGGCCAGTTTTATGACCTTTTTGTTTTTGCGCGCACACGCACACACACACAGATACACACACACGCTCAGTCGGAGGTTTTGGTTTTGGCAATGCGGTCAAAACATTGTCTATGAGAACAATGCTGGTATCAACTAAATGTATATGTGTCTATATAGAGGCACAACTCTAAATGGGACCGCACAACGTGCGGCAGCAGTAGAAATACCTTGAAATGAGCAAAAATACAAAACAAATGTGTGTTTTTGGTTCTTAACTGTTATTAGCATGCTGCGCTGCGTACAGGAGACCCTCGATGCAATGGAAAAAAAAGGGACAAAGCTAAGCAGTTTCTAATTGTCGCAGCAAAACAACATTGAAATCCGCATGTATATATCTATATATAATGGCTGTTGCTCATTTGAGTCGGTTTTGTTTATCCCGACTCGACTCTGACCAAAATATTTAGACACAATTAGCGCAAATGGCACGAGAGACAGAGCAGAGACAACAGTATATGTGACCAGCTGGTCACAATGTTTGCACCCAACCACCTGGCAAAGATATTTAATTTCTCTATTGGGACTTGTTGCGGTCACCCAGCATACCAGCGTCTAGGATAGGATATCCTCAGGGTCTCAACCAAACACGCGCCAGACACAAGCCGCGTTTCCCTGCATTTTGTATGCTGGTATCTATCGATGCTGAGATATTCATAGTTCCTGGTAATGGGACACAGACACACTTCCTGCTCATCATTTGTCATCTTCTTAGCTTCTACTGGGAATATCACAAAACTCAAACTCAACTCTTCCGTTTTCATTTGAAAATATTTTGATATTTTGTGGTCAAGCCACTACTGTTCCGCCCTCAATCTAGTCATAACAAACAAGGATACACAACTCTCAACCCTTTTTGTTGCTTTTCTTTCTGCTGAACTGCGCATACCACAAAAATATATATATATATGTATAATCTTCTGTTTGCTTGGGCTGTAACCACTTAAGTGGCTTTGCATTGTATTTCTCTCTCAACTCTCACACACACAACTCAAATTCCAATTCCCAAATCCCTAAGTCCAAAACTCGATTGGCCTGTCGCTATAGTTAAAGGCCAAATCCAACTGTCGCCCCAATAAAAATGTATGCCTAATTTTCTTTGGCTGCTTCCGCGCATGCGCAGACGTTGCCGCCGCCCCTCCCCTCCTCCACCTCCTCTTCACCCTGTCCAAGTCGCCATCCCCTGTAGCTCCCACTGTTTGGCTGCGTTCCATTTGCCTCGTTAGCTGTGCGATTGGCGATTTCATTTTTGATTTGTGTCGGCATATTTTGCATACAACTCTGGAATGGGTGCAGCAAGTGGCTAATGCGAGGGTCGTTACAACACTTTCAAGTGACTCAATTAGACTGCGTGTCATTCAATCCTTCATCTATCCATATATCATATTCTATACCATCAACATTTTAAGAGCTTACTACAAACAGTAGTTCGCCATTAATGCCATTTCTTTTTATTCATCTGAGTTTCTCAATAATAATTGTACAAAAATCAGGATTAGTTTCTAAACTTTACTCAAACTTGTGGACTTTACTATTCCCTACAACTATACTGTATTTGACACTCTGCTTCTCTCACATCTTAAACTAATCTGTAATCGCTTACTTTTCATAACTGAATGCATGAAACGTCTTCATTAATTAAAATTAAAATACTCTAAAGTAAAGCTTACAAAACTCTCTTATTAATCATATTATTAACTGCTGCTATCTGCCAAAAACAATAAAATAGAAATAAGAAGAAGCCAACTGAAACTGAAACTGAAACTAGATCTTTGCGTGAACTCTTAGCTCTGTTTAAAATTATTAATTTAATTCCATGCACTTTACTCAATTATAGATCTGTCGGGCAGATTCGAATACTATGCTGCCTTAGCTACTTTAGTTAAACGACTCGCAGGCACCTCGTCCGCAGCTCGTCTCGAGCCTCAAAAGTCGCCGCAGCAGGGCCAATCAGTTGCCGCAAAGGTGGCACAAGAAAATTATTTAACAATCAATTTCTTGCAGCGGCATTTTGCCATCTAATTATAATCGAGAGCGAGCGGACCAAGCGGACCAGCAAAATCAAACGAAATGAGCCGACGACGAGCTGCAACTAACTAAAATTAAAATTGAATTGAATGGAAAAAATAGAAATGTGAAAGAAAACGGAAAACTCAAAACTGAAAAATGAGACAATTTTGTTTGCTAGACCCACACAAATGAATAAAATTCCGAGCTGTGCTCTAATTAAAATTGAAATGAAGTGTTCGGCATGCGAGAGAGCAAAATGAAGGTCCTTTCACACAGGGCGAAGGGTCCCTCCCGGTCTCTGGTGCCTAGTCCCTCCTGACTGCTGACGGCAGCAGTAATAAATTTTGGTATCTGAGCACGCGGTTCCTTCATTAGGGTGGTCTCTCACTCCGATCTCATCTTTGCTTGGCACGTTCGTTGGCCCTCGACTTCTATAGTTTTGATTGTCGAGCAATATTACAATAAAAAACGCATTTTTATACTCTACACCCTATGCAATAGTTGAAGTTGGGTATGCTTAACTTAAGTTACACACAATATGAATAATTTAGTATTTTTTATTCATCAGCAATCATCCCAACGTCGATCTTAGAGCATTAAATCGATTGCTTACTAAAACTCATTGTCCACTTTTGATATTGAGTGCGATTTTCTCTCTGTGTAAGATCTGCTTAGCCTGTTCTCAACTATACTTTACATATTTACAGGAAAACTTGCCGAGCCTACCTTTCAGTCTCGTCTCTCTGCGCATTCAATTTTTTTTTTGTTTTCCATTTTTTATATATTTGTTTTTCGCTGTATTTTTTTTTTTCTTTTTTTCTGTTCAAGTTGATCTTCTTTTGGGCTTGGTGCACTCATTTCATGCCAAACAAAAAAATGCATCACGCATACTAATCCCGCGCTGGCGCAGCCCACACACGTCTCGGCTCGTCCAGTGCAAAGGATTAGCATGCTATAAGGAATGCCTTTGGATTTAAAAATTGGAACGTATTATTATTGCCATGTCGAATCGCCACACAAAGGCGACACAATGGCCAAGTGTGAGGGCCACGAATCACAACCAAAGAAGTTGAACCTGGAGAGCAAATGGTAAGGGTAAATGCTAAGGGTGTCCAAGGCCGGACAAAACAACAATCGAATAACAATCGAGCAATGCGCCACATTTGCCATTCAAATGCAATTGCGCGTGATAATCGATTCAGTCAGTGAGCGAGTTTTCAACTCGAAAACAAAAAACATATAAAAACAACTTGAAAGAAAACTAATTTCATGGCTGCTTAATAATAATAAAAAGGTAAGAAGAAGGAGGACTGCACTCTGAAAAGAGAGGCGACTATTTGGTTCATATTATTATTACAGCTGCGATTAATTAAGCAAACAAATCGGGCAGCCATGTCTTGATACGACGAGGCACAACTATTAAATACGGTAGCTGTAAAAACAAATAGCCCCAAGGGGCAAACCGAAACTGATACTCAACTGAACCGAACTGAACTGAACTGATCTGAGCTCGATCGCATTCGCATTCGTGCTTTTGGCCTAATTAATTGCCAATCATAAAGGCGAGTGCAATGCGCTCGTAAAACGAATCAGTTTTAAATGCCCCAACTGCAAGTCCAATTATTCAAGTTTGCGCCTTAAGTGATGATCGAACCGAACCGAACCGAACCGAACTGAGAACCGTGAACTGGTATTGGGTATCGATATGGGTCTGAAA